TGCGTGGGACTTTTACCCGAGGCCCCGGGTTCAAATCCAGCCTGTCGCCAATTTTAGATGAATTTATCTGTAAAAAGTTTCCACAACTAGAGCATTGCGACCTAAAACTAAAAGTGAGACATGAGAAAGTGTAGTTCAGTAAGGTAGTTACTGGAATATAAAAATCAATTAAACGTTTTCACTTACAGTAAAAACCCCTTCTATGCTAGCATTTATTTCAAGCCATTTAAAAATAAATTCACCGATATATAAGCCTACACACTCATTTAAATTATATTCCTCCTAATTTGACATAAAGTAATTATACAAATCAATCTTACACCAAATAAATATTTGGTAATAACGTTTAAAGCCAAAATACGATTGCCACCCTCTCTGTCTTTCCCCAACACTAATTGCCGATTCAGTCGCACAGCTGTTACAGTGCAACACATCGTCTCGCTCTAATGCCTCTGCAGTATCATATGAGAGACATTATGAGAGCTTTAAAACACATCAGGAGACCGCTAAATGGACCTGTTCATAAACAGAGGTGACCGTGAACGTTTCCCCTGCGAAGTAGCTAAAAGAGAGATTGCTTCATTTAATATACGTATACTCTACGTTTAACGAAGACATTGCTTCATTTAGTATGCAAACGAAAACTCAACAGAATGTGGCATCTAAATTGGAACATTGTACAATATGATTTGTATTCAGCAGCTCGACTATTATTGCTATTATACAGCAGTAGAACTAGGACAATGCATCAAATAGTACGTATACCACATTTCAACCGTGTTGTGTCATATGTAGTTGAAATGTGTCACATGTCAAATTATATATCGCTTTATGAAGTATACTCGAATAAATTTGCTACGATTTATCTATAGTTATATAGAAAAGCATCATGCATGAACTAATTTACTGTACCTTAGTTTTACTTAGGAAATGACTTAGTTTATCTACCTTTTAAATAAGATGAAGTACAAATTTTAATACCTAATGGTCTGTGTTTTAAGCATACATTATCAGTTCCGTGTCATTTAGAAATGTATACAAAATTGAACTAGAAAACTATACGAATGCAAAACAATTTATTCTGGGTGTTAAATCACCCTCTCGAATGAAGTAGTAAATCTTTTATATAATAACCAATTAAATTCTTTAAAAATTAAAAAATCTAAAATTAAAACAGTTTTTATTTCCGTACACACACTACAATCGCTTTTAATAGTTTGTAATGATAGTTTGGCCCATCTCATAACTCAGTTGCAGGCCATTTCAGCGGTTTCAACTCCTCGCCCTAAGCACTGAATAGCAGCTAATGGCCTTTAATTGGCTATAAAGCCTGTCCTACCTGAGTGTGATTGGGAAACTACTAGGTACGAGTGCCTCATAAGCTTGAGTATGGAAATACAGATTATGGCGCTATCCCTGGGTAGATAAATTAATGGTTCAAACAAATTTTCAATAATTTGACTAATGGACTAATAAAAAATAAATCATAAACGTACAAGGAATGAACAAGCGTTAACAAAACTAGGTCAAAAGTTTAATTTCCTATGAACACGAACTTTTGAAAGAACAAATAAAGGAATGAGCAAATGAACGTAGAAATAAAAGAGTAAATAAACTGATGACAAAAATAAATATTTTACAAAATAAATTTAAAGATTAGATATTTAAATTAAATCCAAACTAACAAATAAATAAAATGCAACATTTTACCATCCTACAGAACCAGGTGGCAATCGTGTAACTATTTATACACCCGGGTAAAAAAATTACCTAGTTATATAAATAAATAGTATGCATACAAAAAAATTTGTGATGCACGACAACACAATACAATTACAATAATGAAAATAATCAGGTCGTAACAAACTATTTTATTTTACTAAGAGCCTAAATTTAAAAATATGATTTTCTGTAAGAAACAAAGAAAGCTTTTCATTTTATAGGCTTTACATTTGGGGACGATGGTTCCAAGTGGGTTCAATTTAAGACCTAGATACCATTTTCATAAATGGACGATCAATTAATTCAATCTAATTAATGGTCGACGTTACAATGGCAACAAAAAAAGGTTTAGGACAGTTGCTTTAATAAACATAAACAACAGTAATAGCGTAAGATACTTTATAAGCATAAGTTTTATTTTTTGTTTGTAGCTAACACTTTTATAACCTTAAACCGATGACGACCTACCGAGAAAAAGATCTTTCAAAATATACCCGTCTAATCCCACAAGTTTGAGACTGGAAATTGATATAATTAAGATCGCTTTTGAAGTGAAGAACTCACAGAAGAGCGATCTGTTAAAGTTTTACACCGAATAAATATTAATTGAATATCGCTATAATTTACTTCTAATAATCATTCTCTATAAATAAATCTAAAAGCGTTTAAACTAATTACAAGTGTTAAAACTGTATTAATTTCGATCCGATAAAAACAGGCTTAATAAGATTTTAATGGTGATGGAAATCTGGACGCATTTCTTCTCGGAATTTTGCCTCGTTTTCGTTAATATTATTTTTGGTAATTGCTTTGAAGCTTTTCATAGAAGGTTTTTTTGTTCCAAATACGTAACGTATTTTTCAAGCAGAGCGGTGTGACTTTTATTAAATGTAATGTTCGATACAGAATAAGTCCTGTTTTGCTGTGTTATTAAAATAATACATTGCTAATAAGATGTCCTACAAAGGGGGGAAAAGCTAGTTTTTAAATCATTTAGTTATCGATGAAATTTAACAATCGATAATAATTTACACTAAATATTACTACACAGTTCAGAAACATTGAAAAACTAACGAGGGTCCAATTCTTTATTTTTTGTGCTTAAAGTTATCTTTTACATTATGTTGTACATTGTTGTGGAAGTAAAATTAAGGTAACTTTACGAATTAACATGTAGAATATTCAAAGGGTTTGCTTTACTTGTTAATACGTTAACTTTAAACACAATACATAAACTACAAATACAAGCATAATAAATATTGTGAGGGTGGGGTGGTATTTAATGATATGGGACTAATAAGCATGGCATTTAGAAGAAACATGAATTTAGGTAAGGCATTGTGTTTAATTTTTATTGAAATTATGGTACCTTATCCCAAAACGTGTACTAGGTAATCTCCTAAATTAGGCCTATAACAGGGCTCACATAATCTTAAATATTTAAATTTGGTATTTCGTTTCCGAATTCCTTTGGCTCTTCTACTTGACCGATTTTCATGATTGAGGTCTCAAATTGAAGGCCAAGATTTCACATCAAGCATCGGCAAATATTTACCTACTGTATTACCCGACCAAAACACATAATTTGATTTATTTTCGAATTCTTACATCAATTTAAGATGTATTTCACCATTTATAATTATATAATCCTATATATTTTAGTCTAAGAACCTCCAGCGAAATACCGGCTTTCATTTAAGCTAGGCCTATTTGTTATTCATATCGGACGAGTTTCAAGTAAGCGCAAGTTCAACAACCAAAATAAACATTATTTTTCATAAGGTTTTTCTATGATTAAAAATCAATAGCTCCAGTATTGTTAATGTTTTTCTATTTAGACTTAAAAAAAGCGGTAAATTAGGCTTTAATTTGAGTGTTGATCGTTTGAATCAGTCAAGCTAAAGATATTACTCAATCAAAAATCATAAATTTGATTATTGCTCAGATATTATAACTGATTTAACGCTGAGGAACAGCATGGGTCCTCTAGTAGCTATTTATTTAGATTCTCATATTAAGAGGAATAATGAATTATTGATTTTGTAACGCAAACTTTACATATTGGAGCAAAGGTAAAACATTCTGAGAATATTAGTTTTTAAATGTTCAACCACAAAGTTTAATTTGGGCAGCAGTGGTTACTCGGAACGAAATTAAACCAAATATTTTCCCGCGTCCACAAAACATCCCACGGTTAATTTGCACAAATTGCCCACAGAATTGTGATACCGAGAGAGGAATGGGAATGAGCCGAAGAGACGAAGAACGCAAGAGGGTTCAGGCTGCCACAAAAACCAGTCAGACCGCCAGCCCGCCTACTTCGGGAACAATTTGCGAATTTGCCTAATTCGCCCAAATGTTTACAATATCCAAAACGTAATGGCCTGTTGAATATGCAACGATAAAAATTAAATTAGCGTATTATACCGAAATCAATTTCTTACGAAGACAGTATAATTAATGTCTGAGGTGGAACCCGATATACATTTAATAGCGATGATGGCAGCCTAATAGCTGGATTATGCAGACCGGTCTTTATCGATTTGTCTCGCACTGGAGGCGGTGCATGTGTTGTGCAGCTGAATGAAGCATGCGGTGCATAAGCATGATGTGCAGTCGAAGCATACAATGAGCATTATGTGAAGTGTGGGTATATGTGTGATCATTGTAGATGGATTTCAATTCGGTACATATTCAGTTATTCGACGCAATCTACCAAACAAATCAATGAAGTAGGTATGTTGACAATAATTGTCTGACCAAATGGTAGTCTCCGACCCTGTGAGTCGATGGTTCCATCCTCAGTTAATCAGTTATGTACCCAGACCTCATTGTTATTTAACTACCAATAAATGATGGCTTGTAACAAAAGGTTGATGATAGATTATAAGATATTTTGACTGTTATTTAACTTAAAAAAAAAAACAAAAACAAAAATAAAAAAATATATTAAAATAAATTTTTATACACCTAGAAACTATCCAAACATCAATTTATGTAGGCTATAAGTACTTAAATTAAAATTCAATTACAAATTAACTAGAAGTAAAATCTTCCTTACATTCAAACTACGATTTTTCGTTAGTTTCTTGTTATTATTAACTTTGTAAATTTTTGTCAGCCCCATTTGAGTTATTAAAAAAAAAGAAATATATTTCATAGTTTTATGGATAAACGGTGGTTAGCACCCTAATACCACCTACTGCATTGAAATAAAATCGCTTATTAGCAGGTACTTATTAGCAAAGACCCAGCTCCTAACTCAACATTTGTTGCAGATCCTCCAGAGACGCGGTTGGTCGGCACCCCCGGGTCAGACGTGGAGGAGGGGGTAGACACGGTGGTCCTGAGGTGCGTGACGGATGCCAACCCCCCGGCGACCATCACCTGGCGACGCTCGGACCGCCAGGAGGTCGTCAGTGCCGAGGAGTCGCTCCAGTTCCGTCCAGTCACCAGAAGAGATTCTGGGACTTACACGTGTCAAGCTAGCAACAAATGGGGTTCTAGCGACCCTCTTACCGTCCAGTTAGACGTCAAGTGTGAGTACCTATTTGTTTGTACACTTCTGCTAGTTGTAAGTGGGGTGAGCGCCAAATGTAGTATTTGGAAAGGATTTTGGTACCGACCACACCTAATAATTATAACCTAACCTAACCTAAGGGTGGACTACGTTTTAGGTTTGGTTAGTCTAGGAATATTTTGCTATCCTGAAAGCCCCTTGGTATGTATCCAACGTCACCATTCACAATGATTGCAAAATTCCTTACTGAAGAAGCTACGAGCTGCAGTAAAAAATACATCTTTAAGCTTGGTTATCATCCGAACCATTTGGCCCTCAACCTCCTAGACAACAGTCAACATGTCTACAGACTAAAAAGAAAAATGTTTTAGACCTTCCGACTCGATTTGTACAGCAGCTCTGAAATGTATTTTCTTTGTTTTTTTTTTGTTTTTTTTTATGCTAAAGCTGTTTAGCTGCTAACTCATGCTTTCCAATTTGTATTTGATTGTTAAAAATGCCATCATATTTACTTATTGTTTAATGTAAAACAGATTGTAAATAAAACTATGTTAAAAAAATTAAAATAATTAAAATCTTATTTGGAAGTAGATTTATCAGTTTGGTCGGTATAATACCAAAGTACCTTTGGAAATTCACTAGGGTTCTGGTAAAAAAAAAAAATACTGGCCATGTCTTTTATGGAGGGTCTGTCTTTAGTCTATAGTCAAGTCAAAGATCGTAATCACAATTAATTACTATTACTGATTATCATGGTTTTGACAGTCCTATCTCTCACTTAACGATTGCCAATTATTGCCATGGTTTTCACCTATACAGTCAAAGCAATTACTATAATATACAAAGGCTTGAATTCACACTCACCCTTACTTATGGTGTTAGGTCAATGCCTCGAGACCGCTTCTAGTCTTTGCCAAAAGGTTTCACCAGATCATGACACTGCAAAATCTGGTCTTTGGAAATTCGCAAGTCTTTTAGTATTGAATTTTAGTCAGGTCATCATAACGACAAACTTAATTTTTTTCTATGTTTTTGGCAGTATCGAATCATATTTTTAATAATATTGGTTATAATGGTTTGGAATTGTTTTAAACCACAAACTTGTTGGGTTCCATGGTTTTGTGTTGACAACAAATCCATCAGGTTTGGAAGATAAAAAATAAAAATGTGGTTGTTATTAGGTAAAGACTATATTTCCACCCTGGTCAGATTAAGCATATTGTTACAAGGAAAGGCATATGAGAACAGCAAGCGTTGTGAAAAGACCAAAATTATACTAAACATAAATATAATGTAGCGCCTTAAATTTAGCATAGCCAAGAACAATAAGTGTTTAATTACCACTAATAAAAGTTAGTTTACTAAGTAAATTATAACTGTTAAAAAGACAGTTGGATTATGCATTAAGAAATTAAATATCAGAGAAATCACAAATAAAGATAACTTTACGACTAAGAACTCCTAACTTGATGAGAACTGGTTGATTGTGTTTATTATTAACTTTGCAGGCTTCCATTAAATGTTTTATCGCCATCTTAAAGCCCCAGATATATTAAAGTGGGAAATAAAACAGTGAATTTCCATTTGAAGGTGGAATCATAATTGTTTAATTAAAACTCACCTCCAGAAAATTATAACTGTTTACTCTTTTATTTGACTGCTTCAAGCTTTTTATTGCGATATTGCTGTTGACCTTTATTACCCCATGTTTACTTGTTACTATAAGAAGTTAATTAACATAGATTATGAATACCAGTATTCATACCAACATTTGGTTCACAGTAGCATATGAGTTGTACAGTTTCCACTGTCAATACACCTTTTGTCTAAGCAGTTCCCTTATGCTCTTCAAATAAATTAATTCCAAGAGTTTATTTTTAAGTTAATTTGTAAGTTTTGCATCAGACCTAATATTAATACCACTGATTCTTAAAAAAAACAGGGATCCCCTGTTTATTACAAGTTTGCAAATGTTTGGAGATCTAAACATAAATCTCCAACTCTTCACAAGAGATTTAAACATAATATAAATATTGAATATCTAGCTTTTTTACTAAAATTTACACTATGTTTCATGCTCTCCTCATGATTCTCTTTGTAGGATACCAACTATGTACTATGTTATAAGTTCTTGTTATTCTCTCTCAATTCCTTTTACAGAAATTATCATACGCTTAGCCTTGTACAATCTCTATCTCTAGGGCAATAATTTTAATTTATTCAACATTCCTAAACCAAATCCTTTTCAAATATCACAGGGCTATGTTTATACATCCTTGTGCTAAAACCACTCATAATCCTTTAACTAATCATTTTTCACTCGTCCGAGATAGTTGCCTGTCCATATGGGTAACTATCACAAAGACAAATTCCTGTTCTTTGTATTTTGTACTTCTGTAGCTAATCACTTCACTTCAGCAACATCTTCCTCAAAATGTATTTTATTTCCTTTGTAACACCAAACTTTCTTTTACAGAATTCACATTTCTTTACTTGGGCCTTCTTCTACATAGCTCTTTGTCCATCCAACTTCATCATGTAAAGTGCCAGTTACCATTTATGTTGTATTTTTATATCAATATCAATGGTGATATTCGGTTTGGTTGTGAGTTAGGAAGTTAAAGAGTGAATAGTCTTGTTCTCATTTTGGAAATTTTAGTTATTGGCACTAAAGAACCATGCTCAATGTGTTTTAAATAGTGTTCATCATCAGATTCAATGCTGTAACTGAGGATATACCAACCAAAACACTTGATCATTTTAAAAGCAACATAGTTGTGGTATGTTTTGATTTCACCTATACTCTTTGAAGAAATTTAGAAATATGGGGTGAGGTAGACTGAATATTCATAAAAGAAGTCGTCTGTCCTACCAGAAGAATTTAGTTTTGAAAATATACATCTTACATTATATAACACATTATTAATCTATTTCACACATTTCTTCTCCAGATGCCCCAGTGGTCAAGTCCGTGGGTCCTGACCGTTTGACCACAGCCTCCCTCTACTCCCAGGCTCTGTTCAACTGTGAGGCCGAGAGTCATCCTCCCCCGCAGTACCAGTGGCTACAGAAACTGTCGGCCACTGCATCCCAGGACGCCATGGTCCGGGGCTCGGAGCGTCAACTTCTGCTGCGTAACGTCACCTACGACCACCAGGGAGAGTACGTCTGTAGAGTAGTCAACTTCATCGGAGGCAAGGAGAGGATGACTCAGAGCGAGGCAGTCAGTTTGCAAGTTGTCGGTAAGTTTAGTTATGTAAAATGTTATTAGATGAACCTGGTATTCGTTTTACTGTGTATTGGTGATTTTCACTTGTATCTTAGAAAACGTGTAGTTTTTGCCTATACTGCAAGTGTAGATTTGAAAAACTAATATCATTAGACTTTTGGATAAATAACTTCTTGATCAGCACCATCCAGAACTACTAATTCCAGGATATTAAAGCCCCATCCATACGGACCAGCTGTCAGAAAATTTCTTATTCAAAAAGAAAATAGTTCTGTGAGCCAGCCACATAATGCCATGGAGTATAAAATTATATTTTATACCTTTTTTTGCTGGCATATGTTATGTGTCATAACAGTTGCTAAAGCTCTTAATAACGCAATCCATTGGCTTAACTTGGTAAAAAAGGTTTGTGTATTTGACAGAAAATTGTAATTTAGATCAGCACGATCAGTAGCTCATATCAACTACTATGATTATGATTTTAAAAATGGTGACAAATTTATATAATGGGATGGAATGTATAGTTGTATCAATATCCAAAGCTAATGTGCAGTATAATTTCAGCTTGCCTGTAAAATGAGGGGTTTGTCATTATAAATATCAATTGCACAAATGATTAATGTTAATAATGTTCATTCTAAGAAATATCATGTCCAATAATAACTGTAGTTTTTAAAAACATAAAGACTTTTCTTACAATGGCTTCGTTTGTTTGAGTCAGTATTGAGTTAACAATACAATTGGATTTGTGTTGAAGATACAATGTTATGTTTACCAGAGATAAAACTAATATAAATACCACACACTACAAGAGATAAATTTAAACTTTTTGTAGTTTGCTATAACTTATCTATATTATACTCAAACAAAAACATTAACTTTAATGCTTCTACCAGCTTGCAGTTTTTAATGCTATGACCTTTTGCATATATTAATGCTTGAATGCTTCAATTTGCTGTTTCATTCTTGATACTTTTCTTACATTTTGAAGTTTGTTGAAGTCAGCTCTCGATTTGGCTTTCTTAAGAAGAGTCTTTATCTTTAGACTTATTCTTTTTGTTTCCCCCAATAATGTACAAACTTGCTTCTTGCCATTTTAACAGAAGGTTTTTCATAACTTTACTAAACTCTTTAGCAACTATCTCATTTCAACATAGTAAATCATTCAAATAATTAACAGGATGTACATATAAGATTTTCATATTTTTTCCGGACTTACATTATTTGAAAAATTTCTCCTGACTAAAATACTTTCCCTGATCTTCCAGGTCCATGAATATCCTATTTTTAAGTTTTCAGATTACTAAATTTTCTTATACTACACTTATTTCGTTACAGGAGCGCCACAGATCCTCAGAGAAGGCGGGGATGATGCGCTGGTAGAGGTGGTGATGATGCGAGGGCAGACTGCAGTGCTGAGGCAGGTAGTGTGTGCTGACCCTCGACCTCGGCGACTAATGTGGGAGTGGGGCAGTCTGCAGCTATCAGCTGGACAGGGGCTGGGCAGATACCATGCGGAGGACCTTATACAGGTGAGCGGCAAGGGAAGGCAGGGGGAAGATGCGAAATGGAGGCAAGAGAGAATGCCTTGAGGAGGGCAGAGAGAATACACAGATTACCTAGGATAAATTCTGGTTTTTTCTGAAGAGGCAAGAGGAAAAGAATAAAGAAGGGAACAGAGTATTTGCAGATAAGGCCTCTCGCCCACTATACGATTTCAGTCGTACGACACTGTGTCGTACGATATTCTTATCGTATGTGTGGTCCTCGCCCACTATACGACACTTTATCGGATAAATGACCAGTTGCTCGGTAGCCGTGGAGGAGTGAGTGTGTTGCGCAATATCTTAACAATGGTTTTTTGTGTCAATCAATGAATCAGTTACGTGTGGACGCTATGTTTCTGCTATGGCGCAGAATTAAGCGTCGTAGGATTAAGCGGAAGTATTGGATTCACCCTATTAATTAAAGTAGGGAACACACAGGATCATTTCAAACTCTTTTTGATGAACTTCGGCTTGATGATAACAAGTTTTTAAATTACTTCAGAATGTCTGCTGCGTACTTTAAGTGGTCAATGTGGGGCTACATCATTAAAAAAGTAATTATTTTTTATGTGTGGATTATTTCTTAAGTTAATGTAGGTTATTGTTATGTTAATGTTCCTACAGTATTTAAAGACATTTTAAAATTATACGAGTCCGTGCCATTTAACAAGTTTTTAACTTTACTAATGTTTGTTATATAACTTTCATAGGTCTTAGGATGGTCTTGGTCAAAGGTTTGTATGTTCGAACATGTTTTGTATTGTTTTTAAATTTTAATACTATTTGTATATAATCTGCAAAAAGTAATACTTAGGTATTTTAGACAAACTATTTAACACAATATAACTTAATTAATAACAATGGTTACCGGTATACAAAAATTAAGGAATAATACAAGTCACATTGTTTTATTATTATTTTTTTAATATTTACTTATAAGTAATGCAGTACATTAAAATATTGTGAAGAAAAAATATGAACGAACTGTCAGAAATACAGACAAGATCAAAATCACGCAAAATGTTAGTTGAAAAAGACAAAAACTAAGCGATATATCAAACATTATAATAAACAAGTACCTATGAAATAATTGTAAAAAATATATGCATGATCAAAATTATGCAAAAAACGATTTAAATAGACGAAAACACCATTTTAAATGACAAAACTTAAATTAGCAAAAGTCATGGGAAGTGAACAGCGAGAAGGCTCAACTAGAACTAGGATTAGGAGGACTTGGGGAGAACGCACGACATACGATAAAAATCGTATAGTGGGCGAGCGCCCATTTGATCGTACACGCCACTGCGAGTTAGACAGTCGTACGACAGTCGTGTATCACAGTGGCAGTGGACGACTGCTTCACGACAGTTTGTCGTAGTCGTGAGATTATCGTATAGTGGGCGAGCTCTCATAAGATCCAATGGTTCACTGTTGAAATGTTGTCGTTCCGACACAGTGTCGTACGACCGAAATCGTATAGTGGGCGAGGGGCCTAAGGGTTATGAGCAAAATCCACTTGCAAAATGAAACCAATTAAATAGAAGGGAACAAAAAGTCGTAAACAATTAGGTAAGGTTCATATTCCAGATGTATGATTTTTAAAATCCATTTTCAAAAAACTATGGAAAAAGTCATAACAATCAATACAGAACCTAGGTTATCCTATTTGTCAATGTGATTAAAATTGGCCGAATTAATGCTAACTAAATAACAAAAGGTCATTGGTTGCAAGACAAGATTTTTGACTTATCCTCAAAGATTTTGTTTAAATTCAATTGTTATTGAATAAATAAATAAAAAAAAACTTGTTGAATAAACAAAACTACCATGAAGTTAAAGAAAAACACATTTAAGTTGCAACAACCAGTGACACATTCTTTGTCAGTGCTTTTCATTTGATGTTTTCACTTATCAGCTGGAACTTTTCAATTTGTATAAAGCATTCTTAATTATCTCATCATCATTAAATTACTCTGGGTAGCCATTATCTTTCAGTAAACTTGCAAAGTTGTAACCTTTATGGGAGAACTTGATGTCACAATCAATATCTGTTACCAAAGCAGCAAACTTAAACATCAACAGGTGTCCACAACAGAGGCTTATCTTCAAAGTTCATTGTTCAACGTGTCTCATTTAATAAGCTTAGGCCAAATAATTCCTTTAAATAGGTAAACTGTCTTAATAAGACAGTTCCCACTCATAATATTACTTTGTGTTAACATTTTCTTCTTACAATAATAAATTTCCAGACAATTTCTAGGCATGTATGCAATATTTTTCTCTATGATAAATTCTTCTAATGCATATCAGTTAAAATGGTTCTTCCTATAAGGGAAACTTAAACCTTTGTTTTATAATGAATATAATTCCAGCATACTTAACTTACACTTATTACTCTTGCATAGTTATAGTAGCCTTTTTACAAATGTAAAGATCTGGTAGGTGTCCTAGAAATTTGTGGTCAGGCATATACTGTAATTTTGCATACCTTTTCCAGTAAAAAAATACAACTTTAAAATTGTTTTTCTTGATGCTTCTGTTTTATTTTACTTATGGTATTGACTGATGTTTTATTTTATTTTGGCAAAGTGAGGTAAAAAAGAAGTCTAGAAGTTCATGTTTGATATCAATTCCCATTCAAAATTGTTTTGATGAAACTCTGTTACAAGAATTAATCTACATTTAATGGAACAGAAATTACTGATTTAAAATATAAAAAAAAACATTACAACTTAAAAATTCCTTATTATTTTAAACCTTACAGTACTGCACTCAAATTATGTTCTTCATTTTTTCTAAACACCTAATTCATACTCATCCCTGGTTGGTAAGCTGAACCAAAGACTTTGAAGTAATAAACAAGCTGCTAAATAGCTTAGTTGATAGGAGGAACTCAGTCATAAATGTTACCTTTATTTCAATCTAGATGAACTTTAAAAGTTTCCTTGTTTATTTGCAATACGAGTCTCCGTTCGTGCCTTACGGTATTGTGATGGATTGAGGGTCTAATTGAACATTTAGGTAAGATGTAAGTTTTATGAAGTTAATTAAATTAGTCTCTAATTCAAGTAGAACTAACTCTGTTGGAAAACTTTCTCACATAAGGTTTTCCAATGAAATAAAACACTATTTATGACTATTTCTTCAAGATAAATGTCTTCCAATTTTCTGTCACTCATCACCAACTTTTATTCCTGTTCCCAGGATGAGAGGGAGGACTGCTATGAGGCTCGTCTTGTGATTCAGGATGTGGAACCCGCGGACTCCAGGAACTACTTCATGTTCGTAGAGAATGACCGCGGCAACGACCGGCACTCTGTGCGGCTGGCCGTCCGTGGTTCGTATGCTGGCAAGTCTTTCACCTTTTGTTTTGCTCACCCTAGCATAAGGCTTACTAACACTAGCACTGCATGTAGTTTTGTTTGGTTCTGCTTAGTCAGTAAGTTAATATAAGTAATCAAAGATGAATAATTACACTTACTTTCAAATGAATCTGGATGGCAGAGAAAAGCCATGAAGGCTTGGACGACCTCTGAGTTGTTTAAAGCCTGTATCCATGAATTCAGTTGGTAGGCAGGCTACGCACACTAGAGGCGGATAACCTGCCTGCTCTGGTATATTTTCCAGCCTGAATACATCAGCTTAGATTGTTGAAAAGACATTTTAGTAGATGGAAAGCTTACTTGTACTTGGAAATAAAAAAAGCTTTCAAGTGTTGTGATTTAAATATACCTTTGTTTCAAGGGATAAGCTAGTTAACATATTACTTATAGTCAAGTAAAAATAGAATTCATGAAATGTGGGAGTCATGAAAAGTTCTTGTAAATGTTTGAAATATTATATTAATGAATTTTGTAATTAAATTTCAGTTTTCATTTAAATAGTGTATTTTGAAAATACCCAACTATAGTAATTTATGATCATCCAATTACATTCTTATATACACAATAAGCAATATAAAATTTATTTTGAGATACAATGAATTGCATACGAACTTGCAAACTTTAATTAGTACATTATTATTAATATTAAATATTTGGGAGGAAACAATTTACTTTGGAATTTCATAACTGATTAAACAATAATTAATTATGTTTGTTTTGGGATTGTTTTATTAATTTTCACTATCATCTGAATTCATTCACAGTAACAGTTACGCATTTTTCTGAAAGCTATTTACGTGTCGTAAATTCAAAACCAGCAAAATAACCAACAAACCCTATTAACTTTTACTACACATACTGGTACTGCATTGCGGCTCCTAAGAGATCTTAAGTAGTTCCTCAGAAAATGTCATATGTTACCATTGTTCTCACAATTTATTCTGTCACAGAACCTATTGCCATGACTACCTTGATCAGCCTAGCTGGAGCTTGTTTCGTAGTCTTCCTCCTGTGTATACTCTGTGCTGTCTATTGTGTCAGAGCAGAAAAGTGCTGCTTCAATAGTAAGTATACTAAAGTCGCTAATAAATTTAAGTTTTCAAACTACAGTGTGTTACAGACAAATGAAAACTTTTATCGAGAAATACCACGGAGGCATTACCTTCTCTAATAAGTGGCAATGCCACAGTAACGGCCTACCGAAACAGCTGTTCCACTGATTACATCTGCGCAATGTTTATGTTTACAAGTTTGTTGTTGCTATTCAAAGTAAGTAAATACATTTCCCTGCTTTCAACCATAGCAATGAGCCCCCCCGAGAGACCTTGCCGCACACCAACCATACCTGTGGTTTGCATGTGATGCGCTATCCACTGTTTATGTTTACAAGTTTGTGTTACTACTAAAAATAAATAAATACATAAATTCCCTTCTTTCAACCATATGGCAAAAATCGCCCTGTGCGACCTTGTGGCACACCAGCCAGAACTGCGGTTGGCATGTGATGCAACATGGGCCCAAGAGATAATTAATTGTGCCTCTCTCCACTTACATTGTGGGGGAATTTTTCTCTTCCTTACACTTCTAAGAAACCTAAACACTCTTGTGCCCCTGGGTCTGGGCCCTTTTACATAAGCGGCCCTGACATCAACGCCACAGCCTTGTATCAGATGAGACTATGGCAGAGTAATTGTAAAATATAGAAGAACAATTAGATATTAAGATGGGGTAATTAACATTTTATGGGGGGACAATCACAAATAAGCATCATCAATTGGATTTTCAGTCATATTAAAATAGTAGGGCAACCTTGGGTAGCTAAGGCATGGATGGACATGAAAAATTTTTTTCTAAAGGAGTTTTCCATGAATCCTCCAAGGCTCTTCCTAAGAGGGTCTTATCCAATAATACCAGTTTGCAAAGGGACCAGTCTAAAATGTAATGGTGTCAACCCCCAAGGATAGCATGATTGTACTTGTACACTATCCTATCCTGAACAACTCAATATAGTACCTCACAAGAGCAAGAATTGATCTATCAGAAGTAGCAGGCGGAGAGACTCGACTATTGGATACTGAATTTGTATTTATAGTCAAAGGTGTTAGTCTACAGGAAAAAAGGTAATATTACAAATTAAAGATAAAAAAACAATATGTATAGAAAAATTTGATGTCTTTAACAAAGTGCAACCCCCCTATTAGAACAATCTTTGTCTGCAGAAAGTTTCCTAAATGAGGTTTTTTTCAAATGAACTGAGTCATTAAGATGCTCATTAAGATCGGGTTCAATGTTTTAGACAACTAAACACAATCAAGAAATATTCCAAAAGATTTGAGAAAAAAACTGGTTAACTGTTGATAAATAGAAATTTGATTCATAATCAGTGTGTGTTGTTTTTTCAGGAAGAGGTGACTTTAGACCAACAGATTTGGAAAGGTAAATATAAATAGTAAATTTTATTTCAATCTAGATAACCATTCAATGAGGAATATGAAGATTAACATGTTACTGTTAGTCATGAAAATACATTATACTTAAAATTTATAAGAAGTTAAATATATATTATTATTTGTCAGATACATTATTATATATAGGTTTACTGTTTGCTCAGGTGCACAAATGACCATGCAATGCTTTCAGTAAAAAAAAATAAAAAAAATAGAGAGAAACACAATATGTTTCCAGAGAACTGCATACTCAATATTGTTTTAAACTCCATTGCAACTCGGTTATTAGATACACGAGGCTGTGCTTACCATGTTTCATATGTTCAAACTCAACATTATGTCGTAATTACAGTGAAATGTAAAAAAAATTGTTTTTGGTTACTGATTTTGAATATTTACGGTTATCTTATCAACATAAGGGTTTAAACGTATGATTTTTTGATACTGTTAGATACTGTTCAATGAAATGGCAACCATACATAGTAGGTATTTTAAGCCAAGTATGAATGAAAATGAGTGTAGGATCTTGTAGTCTTGTTAGTGACTAAGGCCGATTGAAAAAGTTAACAGTATGTGAATTCTTTAAATATTCTGCCACCAGTACTGAGATATTAAAATGTATAAAGGTTAATCTTTCATCTCTATCTGCCATTACATAATATAGTGTTACATTATATTAGTGTTAATATAGTGTTATATTATAGTGTACTCAAAGAATAGCTTTTATCAGGTTATAAGATCCATCACACCCTTCTTTTTAGCAGTTAATTGAATAGTGGGTCAAATGACCTGAAACTGGTTATCATTTAAATACAAAATAAAACTGTAGATAGAAAGTAGATAAACCTTGGTAAATTTCGGTAATTAGTTGGCAGCTCTTACAAGTTTCAGTTCTTATTCTCCCATGTGTCTTGCACTTGTTTCCCTCCCTTGGATCCAATCATTGTAGAGGTGTGGTTCTGATAGTTTTTAAAATGCATTTTCTTTAGTCCCAGATTGTTTGATTTAGATTTGTGCGGTTAGTGCTTGGCTATAGTAATCATAAGTTTGCTGGTTTGATCCTGAGACAAGTACATATTTTGATAGTTCAAAAGTTGACTTAGCAGTTTAGTTCTTAATCATTAGGCTTTTGCTACATATGGTTGAGGCTAGAGAATCAGTGGATCATAGTCAGAACAAAGCTGCTATATCTTTCATTCAACACTTATTCTGCACTCTTCTTCGCCTTATAATATGCACATTGATGTGTCCCAGTATCAGTAGAGTAGCAGGACAGGAGTATCCCACTGGGTTTCCCAAAGATCTTTTATATTGTTAAACGGCCTGTATTTTCCCGTGAGAATGGTAGTACCTATGATATTTTTCCGTAGCGTTCCTGCACCGGAAAATTTACGACTACACCACTGATCAGTGTCATATAAATCTAATCTAATCAAAAGCAAATCCTTAGCTGTAATCAGTGGCAGATCCAAGGGGGGGGGGGTTGCAAAGAGGCAATTCCCCCCCCACCCCGAGACTTTGGTAAATAAATCTAGTTGAAATACTATAGTTTTAAATTACAAAAAATGATGACAAGTTTTTTTATCTAGATTGTCTAAAAACCCGAGTTTTCAGTTCAAATTTTCCAATATTTCTAGGGGGTGGGCCCTCAGACCCTTCTTTTACTTCATACACCCCGGAAGTTTACCCTTACAATCCAACTCCCCCCCCAAAATCATGCCCTGGATCCGCCTCTGGCTGTAACAGTAGTTGTGTATCAGTCCCCAACGTTTGTGTCTCAATAACCATCCCCAGTGTGATCTTTTACAGCGAGAAGTCCGAGTTGGACAGCACAGGGAGGAAGACGCCCAAGATAGACGGACACAGTGTGCTGCACAATGCAGCGGAGGCTATGTACTGCAGCACCCCCACAAGACGGCCCCCCCACACCATCACTGCGGGGGGCTCGCCAGAGGCCATGAAGGTGAGGCTTGCCGCCATGGTTCTGCAGCCCCCCACCAGAGTGTAAACCGCCGCGCCATGCATCAGTGTTTGCATCAGTGACTGTGTGTGATCTCCAGCATGTGATATGGACACTAGCGATTGCACTGCACCGGACTGAATCTGTAGATTAGTCTTAGCACTTATGATTTCGCTAGTCATCACCAAAGACATTGACAATAATTAAGACAATAAAGCGATAGTTAATGTATATTTTTGTAAATATTTCCACTTTAGTTTTCATACTTTTTTACAAAGGCTGCATGATCGACAAGCACTCGGGTAAAGCTCAAGCACCTGCATCTAGCACGTTTAAGCACTGCCTCACTGCATTACTGTTATACGTTTGACTGTTGTATTTCTTGTATTAAATTAAGTTGTAACTCTTAAGATTAGCCAAAGTAGTCCTTCTATGGCAAGAGAAATATCTCAGTTTAATTATTTAAAAACATGATAATTTCTGTAAATTTTAACTAAATACACATAATACCTAAACATCTTCTTATATTCACTAAAGGATTCTCTAACTTTTCTAAATTCTTTCTCAAACTTACATTTTCCAAATCTCACAACTGCATAGCACCTTTAGCACTGGGGTGGTGACAGGATGTTTGTTTTCAGAATTACCAAGCGCACTTGAATGCCACCGCGTGATTTTGCTAAGCTAGGCAGACAGTTGATGTTGTAGTGATGTATGTGTGTGGGGCTAGCGAGGTGCGAGCCATAGTCACCGGCGCAGTACGGGCGCCAGACGCAGGTCCAAGGAGGACACTTTCAAGGAGCTGCAGGTGCCGAGTGTGAGCGCTCATGGGGCCACTATCAACAGAATGTCCTACTACAACAAGGCGTTCCCTACGGACACAACCCCCCCGTCCTACTTCTGTCCGGCGCCCAACCTCAAACACAGGTTCGACCTGGACAGTGGCCGAGGTGACCAAAGGTCGTACCATGATTGCAACACTGTGTTGGTGCGACCTCACCGTGACCTGTTCACTCCTAGGACCATGCCTTTAAGACACTACCAGTACCAGCCTCATAGCATTGATAAGGCTGAAATATGATACGAGTAATGTTTGTTGATGTGATTTTAGGTTTTTCGATCTCAGTTTTTGATCAAAATGTTACCTAATACTTTTAAGAGTCCAGGAATAAAATGTATTCTTTCAACTGCGATAATTCAACTAACAGTTAATTGGTAAAAAATAATATTGAGAAAAATTAGTCATAAAAAACATAATATTCCTAACCACAATACTGTAGGCCTACTGCATTTGGTTCTCTTGTATGCTTTGCTAAATTCTAAAAAATGAATCTACACACAATGATATTTGTATATTAACTTATTATTTGTAAATACTCAAATTGAAATTGTTTATATGAATTGCCTTAGTGAGCATGCTTGACACAACTGTATATTATTTTGTAAATTTGTATTTATTTTTAAAAACATAGAACTAAACTTAGTTTCATAGATGATTTATTGTAAGTATTTGTTACCATAAAGTTATTATGATAAAAGTAAATGTTTTCGTAGAAATTGTTGCTATATCACTGTTAAAAAGTTTTAAATCTCAAAATATTTATGTGATAAGTTATAATACTTCTATTTTCAATGAAAAAGATGAATATGATTTTTATTATCAAATGTAAATAAAGGCACAATGAGATTATAGACACTGTTTTGTTATTGGTTATGCTTATTAAAACTTTTATTTGTGTTGTTGACTAAAATATTTACGTGTAATTAGACTTTTAAAACATTAAACATGTGAAATATTACATTTTCTGAAAGTAAAAAACTAATAAAAATACAAAGTCATACCTTAGCATGGTAATGGTTGACTAATTTCATGGAACATCTTACATTTAAATATATCTTTTAAACAGGTTTTATTTAGAAACATATTTTACCAGCAATTCCTTCAGTGGTAAAATTTTACTTTGTTTAAAAAAAATTTGCAAATCTTCTCGCTGATTTCAAAGATTTCTTTATAGTTAACTTCCACTGTCCATGTAGTCACATAAAGAGTTTAAGCTCAAAAACACTTAAATTGAAGATGTTTCACCTGCTCACATAATACATGGAATATATAATTTAGTTTTAAGGTAAACTTTAGTACTTAGACTGTTAGAAAAATGATTTAGTTTTGCTTAAATGTCAAAGGTTTATTTGTATCTATGTACATTGTACATACAATTGTGTGTTAAATACTTCCTGTACAGGGATCAACAGTTTAAAGAACTGATTAATGTACTCCTGTACAAAATTATTGTACGAATGATCGTATATTGTGTATGTACAGACTTGATGATGATGCGATCATTCGCAAACACGGCCCATTTTGTATCGATTATGTAATATACAGTATGTTGTGATCAATAAATATATTTCTGTAAATACTTTACTGTCTTCTTGTTTTAGATTTATATTTTGAAACATTTGTTTTTTAATGTTGAAAATGTCTTGAATTTGTAATAAATATGGAACTCTATCAGACAGTGTATGTTTTTCCTCAGATTAGTTATTCTCTAAACAATATAATGCACTACTTCTAAGTTAGTTTTTAGCTACTAGTATGTATAGCACTTTTTACTGAACTGAAAAATTATTTTCATATTTAAAATATATCTAGTCCACACAAAATTTCATAGTAATATTAAGTTTTTTGCTAACTTCTAATCCTACATTTGATTAATAATAATTATTGACATGTATTTGTATTTAATTATTGGGTTGGGCTGATATACTAGTTGTAGAGAACCCTCCTTGTTGTTGAGGCCAAGGTACAAATTCCTGTAGACTCCAAAATATTTCACCTCTGAATTAATGCCACAATCAACAAGTTCTGAGCCACTTTGAACTTTTGGTCAATTTGACTAGGATTCAAAAAAATCTATCTTTTAAGTAGATGTAAGATAATTACAATTAGTTTTAATTGGAGTACCTCCCACGCTGTCAATTAAAAACAAAATAATCTAAATATATAAAAGGCAAAGCCCTCACTGACACACTCACTCACTCACTCATCACTAATTCTCCCACTTCCCATTTACCTAGGAGGCTGAAATTTGGTACACCGATTCTTTAGGCATTAAATAGGAAAACTAAGTTGTTTTTATTCTGATCGGACTCTCGGGCTCCGCCCCAGTGGCTCTGGAGTTTCCCATGTTAACCTTATGATTTTTCATATTTAAAAGGAATTAATGAATCTTATCAGCTGTTTCAATTAAACAAGTTGGTTCTGTTCTATGATGTTCAATAGCTTTAAAGTTACAAGGATTGCCAACAGGGTGCAGCACTATTATTATTTTTTTAATTTATGACAACAGCTAATTTGCAACCAAAAGGTGAGTGAGCGTAGCGAACGAACTTCAACCTGGAGGCGAGTTAGCGTAGCGAACGAGCTAACCTGAAGGCAAGTGAGCGCAGCGAACGAGCTCCAACCTAAAGGTGAGTGAGCATAGCGAACGCACTTCAACCAGGACGTTCGCGTTTGAGTCATGCGAACGAGCTCATCTTGAAAATTAAGAAGTTAAACGGGGCAAAGCCCGCGGGTACAGCTAGTTAAACATATATTTATATTTAAAATGTAGATCAATAACTGTAGTAAATATAATAGACATTTTAGGATTTAAAGCCAGTTTATTTTTAAAATGTGGTTCTATCAAACAACTTAACTATATTATTTTCTAATAGTTTGTACTGTTAATTCACCAGCAGAACCAAATGAAAATAAATTATAACTTCGGATACTACTGAAACAAAACATATTTTACGGTACAATTCAAAAGTACCATGAACAGGCACTTTTTTTCATTGTGGTTTTAGGTACTATGAAAAAAAAAAAATTTTATGTAAGCTGATCAAAAAACATATATTTGAACTCACAGTACAGAACCTTTCAGGAAAAACAGTTTCTTAGTTATTTTGAATTTGTTTATGAATTTAAAATTGATGGTGAAATCAGACAGAGACAAACAAGGGAGGTAAACAGATGGTTCGCAGTGTATCTGACCACCAATTCAATTAAAGTTGAAGAGAACAGAACATGATCAGACCACACCAACATTCTCCCACCTCTTCCAATAACACCCCTTCAATACAATCCCCTACTCGACCTGGTCTGGTATTATCAGTCCAATGTAACTTCATCCCTGTTACATCAAACTTGTTAAACTCTCCAATCCTTTACAGATAACAGTTGTTATATTTGGTGTAGAATTCATATTATGTTTGTTGGGTACAAAAAGTAGGCTGTAATTTTCAGTACTAAAAATTAAAGGTCTAAAATTGAACATATCACAAGCTTTTTTAGTTACATTTGTTTTTTAAAGTGGATTTACTACCATATAAGTGAAAACAACATATAAATTATTTCTACTTGAATAATTCATTTACTGAAATAATTATTCCTCCTTAGCCATCCATATTTAGTTCTCTGATTTGTAACTCAGAGAAAAACTGATTCTGTATTCAGTTCTCTGATACTGGTAGGAATCACAGTGCTGAAAACTTAAGAACCCATTGTGAACTGGAGGCCTGCTACCATCACTACAAAAAAAGGTTGGCCAAGGCCTAAAGTGAATCTAGAATGAAATAAGATAGGATAACAGAGGTGGTATAAGAAAGAACTGGATAGGTTTGTATGAAGTTTGGGGTTTGAGTTGGAGCAGCTTGTAAGCTGGAAGCTTATTGATCTTCAAGAGGAAGGTATGGTATATTCCATCAGCCACCATTAAAATACCATTAGACCATTAAACCCTTCTACTTACCAAGGTATAGGTTAAGTAAAAAATACTTTGAGTAGAATTCTAGTACAGTAGTAAAATTGAATAGAAAGAAAATTATTTGAAAATGACACTTATGAAAAAAATCATGATACAAGTACATTATCAATATTATATTTAATCATATGATATTCCTAAAGTGTAATTCAAAACAAAATCACCTATAAGTTTAGTTATGCCTGAAATAAATCATTCCAAAGTAAGTAGGTATATAAAATCAAGAAATAATTACCACCCAGATTCTGGTTTAAATCATCCTTATTTTACTTTCACTTCCCCTTTCATCCCATCTCAAGACCTACTTCATCTATCGTATACTCCTACTGGGTCCCACCATCAGAATATTTTAAAGTCTCTACCCCTTCAAAAATTCTAACACTAAATCCCTCTGCAAAAGGTTTTCTACCCTTAGTGTTTCAAGTCAAATTTTCTGTATCATTTTATTGTTGACTTATCAAAAACTTTAAATTACCTACTCAAAGGTAATTAATTGCTTACCTGGTTTGTAGTGATTTGAAATTACCTACACGATTGGTTCTGAAATTAAATAAAATTCTATTTAGGCGAATAAATCAAAACAACTAAAAATATCACTCATATGAACGAGGCAAAGCTAGGACATGCTCGACTACTTGACCTAACCTTTGAACTGAGAACTGTTTGTTAGTTTTCCGAACAACCCTGCATCACGTAACAGCTAACTAATAACATGTGTGGTAAAACCTCTCTTACCTCGCATGACAGGCCACGTCTCTAGGTAGGCCTATCATAAGATGGAAGATGCCACTGAACTGTTGGAGGAGTGTCAGTGTGTCACAAATCCAATTACAGCAGAGTGAATGCGGTTAAACCGCAGACACAAACTTCTCTGCCACGACACGCCCACCACACTAACTACTGTGTGCTGTGGATTAACTTCATTTGTGTGCTGGCTCATAAAATAAATAATGACTTTGCACTTATCGATTAATAACCGGTATGGAGACTTAATATAAATAATAAAATAGAGTTTCCCTTAAATTGAGTGGAATCAGGATGTTTTTTATGAGTTTAAACTCATTTATCCAAGTAAGGTCGATAGAAGTTTTATTTTCATGTTTGGCTGTTTGTCTATTTACTTGTGTGTCGGTGGTGACACCCAATATGGCTATTTACGTTGCTGGCTCTATTGACGTAATTGGACTCCCTTAATAACAAAAAAATCCTGTTAACCGAACTGTTGGGATTTAACTTGCATATTTAAACCTTCTTATTTCTTAGTAAAATTATAACTATAAATACTCAGTTATGTGCTATATTGCACACATTATCCCTCAAGGTTTAAAGCATAGTCCATGACATCTATCAAATTATATTGCTATTTAAAGAAAGATTATTTCTGCCTACTGTCGCTGGATAAATTTATCCTTTCGCTGTAGGTAACGTAAAGTGAGCCAAAAATTACTTTAGTTTGAATTGATATATAAGTTATAAATTTGTTCATCCTAAACTCCAATGGAAATTAAATCCATCGTTTATCGTGTTGTCAAGCTGTTTATTAATGTACCGTCAATTCTGTATAACAACAGTATTGTTTGTGCTTAGCAATTAAAATATGTAAATATTGGCCTATCGTTCTATCATATAATATTAAACATTAGCGACTTAAACATGCTGTATGGATTTTTATTGTATAGGCTTATGGGTGTTTATTCAATTCAAACATTAAATCATGTGTATGAATAGGGTAACACAGATAACATTGTTTAAACCAATGATAGTTTTATTAGGGGTTTAAATATAAATTCATCCCGTACATTTTATTTTCTGATATCCTAAGAAACAGACGACTTCTTACCAATGTATACAGCAGACGTTAAGTCAAGTGGTTGAATCATTAACCACGTGGGGCTTCAACGAAAGAGGCAGCTTCAATAATTAATGAACTTGAGTCAATTAGTTTAGTACAAGAGCTGTGCACCTTCCTACCCTCTTGTATATCTTAGGGCTCCTTTAGACTCATGCAACCCTCCAACCAATCAGGGTTTGTACAATTAAATGGTTATACAAACTTAGTTCACATTTATGGCAATGTTACTGATTAATTTACTTTTTACTGCGCCACTAAAACAAACGTGTATTTTGTGGGGAATGTTTTTTTTTTTTTTATAAATAATCTGGAATATCCTTAACAATAACTTGCAATGTTTCCCTTTCCAACGTGCAAAATAAAGAAATATACCCTATAATCTTAAATGTTGCACAACAGATTTACCGAATAAAATGTGTAAAAAACATTTATTGTTAGCAATAAACCTACACTTTGTTCACTTAATTGCAGTTTTAATATTTTTTAAATATTTTTTATAGGCATCAAAAATCTGCAACATCTTATATTCTACTACAAAATCGTGCAAAACCAATACCAGCAATACATGTTGTTCAATAAGTTACCATCACACATAAGAATATTAATTTCAAAATATTTCAAAACTTGGTTAGTCATATTGCCTAAAATGCAATGTATTGTTTTCCGTTGAAAAATATATTTTTTGTGATACATCAATCCGGTCTTGTTTTATATTGTTGCTTTTTACGTTATAAGATATAAATATATTCTGTTGTAGGCTATTAAAGAAAAAAATAGGACGCCTAGTGTGTGGTAATACTAAATGTTTGTATATATATATTGTACTTAATGGCCAATGATGTTCT